TCACCTGGCAGCTGTATCTCTCTCGCTCTCTCTCTCTCTCTCTCTCTCTCTCTCACACACACACACACACACACACACAGTCAGCACAAACAGGCGTCCTGCTACAGCGGCACTTTCATGAACCCGAGCGTCAGAAACAGAGAGAAAGCAAAGCACTATTTCTGCTGACCTACAGGACAACGTCACACAGCACACTCCAAATCTGACATCAATATACTGTACACACACACTGACACAGACACAGACACAGACACACACACTGACACAGACACAAACACAGACACAGACACAGACACACACACATACACACAGACACACACACTGACACAGACACAAACACAGACACAGACACAGACACACACACATACACACAGACACACACACACAGACACAGACACGACACACAGACAGACACACACACACACACACACACACACGCACACGCACACCTGTCATCACACCGCAACTCTACTAGACAGTAATGCACCAACTCTGTCTGATAGAATTACATTCATGCATTATATTACTTGATGACCGAATAGCTTAATAATAATAATAATAATAATAATAATAATAATAATAAATGTATTCATTTATTGAACACAGACTGCCTTATTTTTGTTATCGGCATTTTATAAAAGAATTCAGTCAAAGCTGCTTTAAGAACACAAGTTTGAAATGTTATTCAACTAAATACAAATCATTTTTTGGACATTTAAGATTCGTTTTGCATTGTGTCATTATTTTTATTTATTTTAAAAAATTTAAGTTGCTTTGTTATTTTAATTAATTAATTATTAATTAATAATAATAAACAAAAATTATAAATTTTTATGAAAAATCTAAAAATAAAAATAGTTACTTTTAATTTATTTATTTAAATTGTATTTTATTATATTATCATTTATATTAAATTGTATTTATATTAAATTTTTTATTTATATTTTATTTTTATTTTATGATGCATACATGTACTTCACAAGTTAATTAAAATACAATTTATTCTCATTTGATTTTATCGTGTCATCAGGTTATTAAATTAATGCACTATATTACTTGGAATATGAAAGTAATTATTTTTATTTCAAAATATTTTTTTCTTAAATCAAAGTCTTACTGATATTTCAAATAATACACACATAAATAGTTATATAATTATAAAAATAAATATATAAAAAATATTTATAAATTAATATATTATTATTATTTATTAAAATCCTTTATTATATCAATATATTTTGTATATCTATGCATATACTGTAATGCAAACAAATCTCATTATAATGCATTAAAAAAGCTTAAAATGTAAAGTAGTAATACATCATGGTAATCTTTGTCGTACTGTCTTTAATTTACAGCAATTTAATTATTATAGTCTTTTTTTTTTTATTATTAAAAAGCGCACATCGACGCTGCAGTTTGGGTGGAAAATGTGCTGAAGTGTGTAAAACATGACCTGCACGTGTTTTTGTGAGACTCATCCATAAGCGACTCCCGTAATAATAGATGGTTTATTAATGACTGTAGAGGAGATATATACAGGTGAGCTCCTGACCTTCAGGTCCCTGTAGACCACGTTTCTCTCTGAATGCAGGTAATCCAGCGCAGACATGATCTCAGCTCCATAGAAACGCGCACGATCCTCCGAGAAAACCCGATCCCGAGACAAGTGGAAGAAAAGCTGCGGGAGAAAGGAGTGCGGGAGCGATTAAAGCATCAGATCACCGTAAACCAGCTCGTCTGATGAGATCCTCACCTCTCCTCCGTTTGCATACTCCATGACGAAACACAAGCGGTCGTGGGTCTGGAAAGAGTATTTCAGACCCTAAACAAACACAAACAACCATGTTTTAAATAATCATGATAACAAATAATTACATATTTATATATATATATATATACACGACCAGTCAAAAGTTTTTGAACAGTGAGATTTTTAATGTGTTTTAAAGAAGTCTCTTCTGCTCACCGAGCCTGCATTTATTTGAGCAGAAATACAGCAAAAGCAGTAATATTCTGAAATATTTTTACTATTTAAAATAACTGTTTTCTATGTGAATCTCTGTTAAACTGTAATGTATTTCTGTGATGCGCAGCTGTATTTTCAGCATCATTCCTCCAGTCTTCAGTGTCACATGATCTTCAGAAATCAGTATAATATTCTGCTTTGCTGCTCAAAAACATTTATTATTATTATTAATATTTAAAACAGCTGAGTAAATTTTTTCAGGATTCTTTGCTGAGTGTTGGTTACAGTTTACTTTCCTTTTTAATTATATTTTAATTAAATATTTATTCATTTGTGGAAAACACTTTGTCATCTAAAGTATAAGTATGTTTATTTCACAAATTTATTTTTAATCCATTTTCAAATTTCTTAAATATTAAAATAAATACAATTATATCGGCCACCCTGCTTTCCAAGATATCGGCATCGGCTGTCAAAAAACTAATATCAGTCGACCACTAATATTATATAAACATTGGTATTTAAGTGAAAGGAGGACCATGTTCTTGTTTCTTTATGAGAAGTGGTTTTATTTCATTTAACATAAAGGCATGATGTGTCACAGCAGTTAAATCTGCTTGATAAAACCTTAATATCAAACCTATATGAGTTTGGAAATGTTAGAGAAATGCTTAATTACACTGTTACTAAACCCATTAGATCTACTGTAGATTTAGTCGACTAAAACTAAAACAATTCAGATGACTAAAATATGACTAAAACTAAATGGCATTTTAGTCAAAAGACTAAGACTAAATCAAAATTTGCTGTCAAAATTAACACCCATTCACTGCCATTATAAAGCTTGGAAGAGCCAGGACATTTTTTAATCTAACTCCGATTGGATTCGTCTGAAAGAAGAAAGTCATACACACCTAGGATGGCTTGAGAGGGTCATTTTAATTTTGGGGGAACTATCCCTTTAAAGGAACAGTTCAACACAGTAAAAAATAAATAAAGAAGTTTGCTAAAGTAAGTCTCCTCTATGATTTTATCTGGAACACGTTTGATTGCAAAAAACGTTGCTAATATCTTTGATACTCAGTACAACTACAAAGTACCCGAAAAGATACTCAAGTACAGTAACTAAGTACATTTACTCCAATACTTTACACCTCTGCTGCTGTTATTCTGCTGAACTCTGAAGCACACAGTGTGGATGATACACAGACCGAGGAGAGGACGAGGAGGATGAGGAGGGTCTCACCGTGAGGAAGGGGTGTTTGGAGTTCTGCAGCACACGGTTCTCTGCGAGTGTGTGAGCCACTTCATCCTGAAACACACACGCCACACACACCACACACAGCCACTCGTTCTCAAACATGTGACAGCAATACAAACATCTTCTGAACATTTACTGCATGACTTTTTTCTTCCACTCTGAATAGTGCATCAAAATTATTACATAAACTTAAGTTTTATTTAAAAAAAATAATAGATAAAAAGTAGGCCCTGCATACAGGTAAGTGTCTTATGCCAATTTTATTTAGGTATTAAATTCAATCTTATGTAAATATTATTTATATGAGTTTTTATTTTTCGGGGTTATTTTAGCTATTAATCAAAAAATTGAAATCATGAAACGTATGCAATTTAACAACAATCGGTTAAAAGTTTAACAAAATAGACATTTTTAGGGTACTATGAAATGCATTAATTTTTTTCCCAAAGTCTGTTTTATTTTTTTTCGAAATTTTAAAATATTTTGGATTCTATTTTTTTATTAAATGTTTTAAATTTTAATGGTTCAATTAAATGTTAGTATTCCAAAAGCATGTCTAATTAATTGAAATCATGAAATGTATACAATTTTACAACAATTTTGTTAATAATAATCTGAAATATGATTTATTTTTTCCTGTTTTCTTTTTTTCTATTTCCATTTTAATTTTTCATCTTAGTTTAACCGCTGGCTAAATTAAATTTTAGCAATCAAAAAGCATGTCTAATTAATTGAAATCATGAAACATTTACAATTTAATTATTTTTTCCCCCCAAATTTTATTTTCCCCATATTCTACGTTTTCCAAGTAAATTTTTCTGAATTCTGTTTTAATGGCTTAATTAAAAGGCATGTCTAATCAATTTAATTCATATAACTTTAACAATTTTATAACTTATTAACATTTTTACAATGAATGGCTTTATGAAAAGTTTTATGTTTCCAGAAATCTAATTTTTCTGGATTGATGATTTAATACAAATGTATTATCAAAGAACGGTGGTAATCAAATGAATGCATAAAAAAACCAACAATTTAATTAATCTTTTAAAATATAAACAAATGAAACATAACAATTCCTTTTATTTTTACCAAACAAAGTGTTGCACAACAGAGGTTTACTGTTAAAATTAAAACGGAAGAAAAGTTAAATATATATACAGTAGTTTTATCAGTCAAGTATGTCCGCACTTTTAATTTGCATGTCTGTATTGTATTATTTTTGAACATTTGATGCTTTTAAACGTCTGAAACTGCACTCAAAATAATGTCAGAAACACTAATGCTTCTTATCTTTGCACTCACTTTGGCTACAATCACTTCTTTCTTGAGGATTTTCATGGCGTAATATTTTCCCGTTGCTTTCTCCTTCACCAGAATCACCTTCCCGAAAGTGCCTTTTCCCAGCAGTTTGAGGTATTCGAAGTCATGCATCGTCTGAAACACACACCAGCGGTCACCAAACACCCGCAGGAGCTTAATATTACTATATCATAAAGAATAGAGTCTGTGCAGATACAAGCAGTGTGTTTGTACCACTTTGAGCCGAGGTTTGGTCAGAAACATCTCCATGTCCATGTGTTCTGGAGACGCGTCCATCATCTCCTCCTCTTGTTTCTGCAGACTGTCGGACACGGTCTGGATGGCTTTGGTCCATTCCTCTCTACACAACAGCAACAACACAAACATGCAAACTAACGTCTCTTCTCTGCATTTTGCACTGCAGACATTATTGGCTTTTATGACAAACTGCTTGTGATAATCCTTTATAAGTAGCTTGGATATTATCATAAGCTAATGGAAATATTTAGTAGCATTTATCTGATTTTACTAAACAACAGTACACCTACAACTAATTTATTTCAGTCTAGTTTATTTGTATTTATTATTTTTCTATATTTATTTAAATGTGCATATATTTATATATTATTTTATTATTTTTTTTTGCTTTTACTATTTTTTGTTTGAATTATATTTATTTTATTTTAATCAGATTAATTATATTAAATTCAAGAAAATCCAATATTTTTATACAATTGTTCAACAAATACATGATTTTTTCAAATATATATTTTTACTTATTTAAATGTGTATATATACAGTGGGTACGGAAAGTATTCAGACCCCCTTAAATTTTTCACTCTTTGTTATACTCCACATGGAAGGTGCGCTCAATGACAGTGGTCCACTGCAGGCAGCGTATGATGAATGTGTTGGGTTTGGGCCGCTCCGTCTTCATCAGCTGACACTCTGGACACATCCGGGGAAAACCACACCAGAGACACGGACAGCGAGAGAAATGACGGCAGCAATCATTTATCTTTATCTGAGTGTTTCTCCTGCACTACATTACACACACTCAGTAGGGAGCGGCGAACAGGTGCACTGCGTTTCACGCCGCACACACTCACATGCAAACCTCATACAAGATTCAATATATGATGCACTTTAAAAGAGAAAATCTGAAGGAAAACAGAAGCTAAAACCTATTGACAGCACGCCACAAAACATAATTTCAACTGGCTCCTCAGAATGAGTGCGATGGAAACAAACGTGAGGCTTTCTAAAGGCCTTTTTGAATGAATGAATGAATGAATGATGTCCATCTAAAACTAAACATCTAAATTAGCACGTTAATTATACCCCTGCATACATTTTGCACGGTGACAATTATTCACATTTTCTTTCAATAATCGACATAAATATTGTGTGTAATAATAATAAATGAAAATGTTATGTAGTCTTAACGTTTGCTCACGAGATTATTTTGCAAGATGCAAGATACACATTTGGCAAGATGCTAATTTTTTTTTTATATTTTGAATTTAATTTTTATATTTTCTGTAACTAAAAATTCACTTTAATTTTTGTTACAGTTTTAGTAATTGTGTTGTTTTTTTTGTCATATATATACATTTTTTTTGTATGCCTGTATATATTTTTTATTTATTAGATTCAGTTTTAGTTATTTTAGTACTTCAACTTCAACTAAATGAAAATTAGAAATGTTGTCTTGGAAACTAGCTGAAATAAAGTTTCAAATTTTTTTTTTATTTTATATTTTATTTATGTTAATGTTTATTTTGTTTCAAGTACCAACAACGTTTTTTTAAATGGTTTTAGTTTTTGTTAACAAAAACAAAGTCTAGTTTTCCAGAACCATATTTAAAACTATTTTTTTAAACTATTTTTAGCTTGACAATCTTAAAAATGCAAAGCTCATGGCAGAAGACGTCAGAAAAACAGCAAGATTTGATTCAATGGACAAAGGCATTCATCTTTAAAAAAAAAATTAATAAATGCATGTTGATTATACACTGCCAGTCAAAAGGTTGGAATAATTATGATTTTTTAAAATAGTTTTTAAAAGAAGTATCTTCTGCTCACCAAGGCTGCATTTATTAGAACACATTAAAAACAGTCAAATATTATTACAATTTAAAATTGCAGGCTTCTAAGTGAATCTCTGTTAAACTGTAATTTATTTCTGTGATCAAAGCTGAATTTTCCAGTCTTCAGTGTCACATGATCTTCAGAAATCATTCTAATATGCTGATTTGAGATTTCTTTCAGAATGTTCTGTCACTTTGCATAATAATCTACATATATACTGTGTGTAATAATGTAATAATTCTGTTCACAGGGGAGTTTTGCGATGTTAGAATTGAGAAAAAGTTACACACTGTTGCAAAGTGACTCAGAATCAAGACAATCTGATATTGACAATCTCATTTTCAATATGCATTTATTCGATAAAAATACTTTCGAAATAAAAACAACCTACCTGTTTCAAATTAACCTAAAATTGCATACTTAAACTAAGCATGCATGAAACACACTGCAATCAGTTTTATATTAGAAATATATTTAATAATTGCTTCTCATTTCTGTTTATGAAGATGTGTTAAAACTTTGCCGCATCTAATATCCAAATAACACATCGCTTTTAACTCTTTTTTTCACTTTGCATTAATAATCAACATTAATATTGTGTGTAATAAAGTAATAATGTTGTTTACTCCTAGCATTTGCTCACAAGGGTGTTTTGCGAGGTTAGAAAAGAAGTTTGACATCTAAAAAGTTGTTGCAAACTTCATGCGGCCAATCTGATATTGACAATCAATATATCCCGCTTCTGCTTTCCTTTCACACACGGATGCCTCTGCGATTCAAACGGGAACGTCATCAGTTGTTAAAACCTCAGACTTGCTGCCGAAATAAGCAGCGTCTGTGTTCTCTGCCCTCAAAAGTGCTCACTCAAAGAGGAAAACTTACGCTTTCAGCGCCACAAAGCACAATCGCCTCCAATATCCAGCAGCGATTCTGCCAGCGCTTTCCCGCAAACATATGTCGCAGAGACAGCGTGGAGGAGACATGTGTCACGTAAGAGGCCTGTCGACGAGATGGAGGACCCGGGTGAGACCACCACTGAGATCCAACGCTGCAACCCGAGCCTCCATCAGCGGCGAGATAAATAATGAGGATCAGCCACTTAATAACCACTATATTTCACAAGTGTCAGGGAGGAAGCGTTCTCTTGAACAAACATTATGGCTGTCTAATTAGTCTGTTCAATCATCTCAACAGTTTTCGCAGCGATGGCGGGGCTTCTTCACTGAATTCTGCCGAGGTGCGACTGGAGGAGACGGCCCGGATGTGTTTAATATGCTTTGCACGTCCCTCGAGGAAACAGAAAACTGTTTGAGTTGATGGAGGTCAGATGGAGGAACTAGTAGAAGAATATCATCAAGTCCAGTCATGCATCATATATTAAATTAAGCATGCACGAAATACACAACGATCGGTTTTATGTTTACACTATATTTATTGTCGCTTTTCGTTTCCGTCTATTTAAGAAAACTTTGACGCAGCTTTAGTGTTGTATCCAGATAATGCATTTTTAACTCTTTAAAGTGTCATTTATCAAACTAAATATGCTAAATATGTCTAATATGCATTCATTTGTAAAAACATTAACCATGTTGCAAATGAACCTGAAATTATATATTTAACTTAAGCATGCGTGAAACAGTTTTATATTTACAATATATTTAATTGTTGCTTTTCATTTCCGTCTATTAAAGATGTGTTAAAACTTTGCCGCAACTTTAGTTGAATATCCAAATTGTTTTTAACTTATTTAAAGTGTTATTTATCAAACAAAATGTCTAATATGCATTCATTTTATAAAAAAAAAAAATCTGAAAGAATACACTTAAATAAAGCATTCATAAAATATAACATTACTGTAATATCTAAATAATGCATTGTTTTTAACTCATTTAAAGTTTCATTTATCAAACAAAATATGCATTATATGCATTAATTTGATAAATACATTTTTATAGAAATAAAAACAACCTACCATGTCACAAATTAACCTGAAATTCTATACTTAAATTTTTTTAAGTGTTTTATTTAAAATATATTTCATTGTCGCTCATTTCTGTTTATTAAGGATGTTAAAACGTTGCTGCAGCTGTAGTCTAATATCCAAATAATGCATTGATTTGAACTCATTTAAAGCGTCATTTATCGAACAAAATGTCTAATATGCTTTTTTTTTTAAACCTTTATAAATAAAAACAACCTACCCATGTTGCAAATTAACCTGAAATTATATATTTAACTTAAGCATGCATGAAATGTCTAATATGCATTCATTTGTAAAAACATTAACCATGTTGCAAATGAACCTGAAATTATATATTTAACTTAAGCATGCATGAAACAGTTTTATATTTACAATATATTTAATTGTTGCTTTTCATTTCCGTCTATTAAAGATGTGTTAAAACTTTGCCGCAACTTTAGTTGAATATCCAAATTGTTTTTAACTTATTTAAAGTGTTATTTATCAAACAAAATGTCTAATATGCATTCATTTTATAAAAAAAAAAAATCTGAAAGAATACACTTAAAGCATTCATAAAATATAACATTACTGTAATATCTAAATAATGCATTGTTTTTAACTCATTTAAAGTTTCATTTATCAAACAAAATATGCATTAATTTGATAAATACATTTTTATAGAAATAAAAACAACCTACCATGTCACAAATTAACCTGAAATTCTATACTTACATTTTTTTAAGTTTTTTATTTAAAATATATTTCATTGTCGCTCATTTCTGTTTATTAAGGATGTTAAAACGTTGCTGCAGCTGTAGTCTAATATCCAAATAATGCATTGATTTGAACTCATTTAAAGCGTCATTTATCGAACAAAATGTCTAATATGCTTTTTTTTTTTTAAACCTTTATAAATAAAAACGACCTACCCATGTTGCAAATTAACCTGAAATTATATATTTAACTTAAGCATGCATGAAATAGAGTGCAATCAGTTTTATTTTTACAATATATTTAATTGTCTCTTCTCATTTCCATCTAATGAAGATGTGTTAAAACTTTGGTCTGATTTTGGTGCATTATGTATCAGTTTCATAACAATAAATACTTTAGAAGGTGCAAAAAACTACTTAAAATTTAGCAAATTAACCTGAATTTGAAAAAAATTCAATTTTAAAGCTTATTTCTGCCATGGAATAAAAAAATAAAAGGGTAATTGAGACTTTTAATCTCAAACGGTTCATCTTTTTCTGAGTTTATATCTCAAAATGCAAACTTTTTTTCTCACAATTGCAAGTTTATATCTCAGAATTCTTCTTTTATTATCAGAATTGTGAGTTTATATTTCACAATTCAGACTTTTATTTCAGAATTGCACAATACAAACTCACAATTGCATGAAAAAAGTCTGAACTATGAAAAACGAAGTTGCAATTTACTTTTTTATTTTTGGAAACAAGCTCGTCACAACTCAAAATTGCGATTTCTCACCAGTCAGGCGTTTCTTCTCAGAATTGCAAGAAAAATGTCAGAATCGTCATCTAAAAAAGTTTTTTTTTTATTCAATTCCGGAAATAAAAAGGTTCCATATCACTTTTTTGTCTGTCAAAAAATAAGACTTTGTTTTACTCAAAATTTTGTTTAAAAAAATAACAACTGCATTTATTTAAGAAATTGCATGCCATTAGCTGAAGTAAGCATGCACTGTGACAATGATAGCACAACACATAATGCCGGTCATAAAAATTTAATAATATCCCTGTTAATTATTGCTGTTCACATCCTGTTTTTATAAAGTAATATGTAGTTTACACAATGCACATTATGCAGTAAGTATTACGCTATTTTTCCATTCATTCACACATGCACACACATAAATGTGACCCTGGAGCACAAAAGCAGTCATAAGGGTCAATTTTTCGAAATTGAGATTTATACGTCATCTGAAAGCTGAATAAATAAGCTTTCCATTGATGTATGGTTTGTTAGGATCGGACAATATTTGAAAATCTGGAATCTGAGGGTGCAAAAAAATCGAAATATTGAGAAAATCATCTTTAAAGTTGTCCAAATGAAGTTCTTAGCAATGCATATTACTAATCAAACATTAAGTTTTAATATATTTACGGTAGGAGATTTACTAAATATCTTCATGGAACATGATCTTTACTTAATATCCTAATGATTTTTGGCATAAAAGAGAAATGTATAATTTTGACCCATACAATGTATCTTTGGCTATTGCTACAAATATCCCCCAGCGACTCAACACTGCTTTTGTGCTGCAGGGTCACATATGTTAGGATCAGATTCAGGTCTGTGTGAGAGACTCACGTGCCACGGAGAAGTTGTTTAACGGCGTCTCCAGCTGATCCACGTCCTGCGGACGCTCCTTATATCCGATAAACGTACCGTCACTCTTCAGCAAGAAATAGCGCGGCCTCCACGTCTTTATGTACTCTCCTGTCCGGAGAGAGAAGACAACAGAAAACTAAATAAATACAGGATCATATTAACCCTATACATCATACAGTATCATATTTGATACTCAAGGCCTCTAAATGATCAACATGATCAAACTCTGCTGTTTCACACTCGATCTCCTGCACGTCTTCTGTCTCTGATCGAGAGCTACGAGTGTTTTATTCAGTCGAAGCTCTTTTAGTGTAATTCTGGAGCTGGAGCTTCTCGTGTCAAATCTTGACTGATTTTGATCAAGTAAGCGTCAGAATAACGTCAGTAATATCTCCAGATGAACACTTACTGCACTGAAGCAGCTCAGCTTTACTTGATTCTCCATCAATCATGTTTTAGAGTCTCAAATCTGATCCTCAGGATCTTTTGAGGAGCGTTTGTTTCCAGAAGCTTTACTTTCACTGTTCCTCAGCGGAGGAAGGATCTTCACAAGCCTCTAGAACATCTCACGGTTATTTCTTCAGCTCTCAATCACTGCTTTATATGTTTGGAGCATTTCAATCTCATCTTACTGAGACACATTACTGAAGATATAGAGTGACAACTGATATTTAGATCATTTTATGTCAGTATCTGCTCTACTGTAATAAAGCTCTCATTGATTTACATCACAAGCAGCAGAATTGCATCATATAAATATCAGCATCTGCAGCAAATTCATATTTTTGTTCAGTTTGAGTCTCTGAATAATCTGAAATATATTTTTTCTTCATATTCTCACTGTATCAGACTATATGAGCCAGAAAAGCCTGAAGGATCAAATATGATACTCAAGAAAAAAACACATATGTAAACTGTTTTATCTATATACCATTCCTTTTATTTAAAAAATTCAATTTCAAAAGCTTTTCTGACTATTTAAGCCATTATTATGACTTTTTCCTCAAAATTATGACTTGGTGTGTCATAACGACTTTTTATCTCTAAATTTTGACTTAGTGTGTGTCATAATATCAACTTTTTATCTCATAACTATAACTATAATGTTAGTTTTGACTTTTTATCTCAAAAGTATGACTTTGTCATGTCATAATTTCAACTTTTTTATTTTATAATTATGACATAGTGTCAATTTTTATTTTTTTATTTCAAAATTGACTTATTGTGTCATAGTTATGACTATCAATATCACAGTTTTGACCCAGTATGTCATAATTTAAACTTTTATCTCATAATGACTTTTGAGTTTTTTAAATTATGACAGTCATAATTTTGATTTTATCTAATTATTATGACGGTATGAGCCATAAAAACCTAATGTATAAAATATGATACTGAACAAAAACTAAATTTTCAATAAACTGTTCCATTTGAAAACAAACACATTTTTCTGGCTATAATTTTCCATGTCGGGCTTCACAGAGTTAAGAACATTTACTGAATGGACAGCTAAACCTTTAGGAAATGATTGCAATTGCATATGAAACAATGACTCAAGCATGCATCTAAATTTCGATGCAAAACCTCCAAACAACAGCAAAGCACCTCTGTTTCCAGAACAGCACACGAGAAAGCGTTCGAAAGCACGCACAAAAGCTGCTGCCGTATTCTGCAAGCGAAATCAATCTGTGCTGAGGACGGTGCAGAAATCACTGCACCAGATGTTGCGGAATTGGAAACGAAAAAACGGAGAGAGTCTGCAGCACGTCAGAAACACAGAGACAGTTTGAATAGTTATCCAGGAAAAGTGTAATTTATTTTTAATTACGGGAGTCGAATATTAACCCCATGCAGGGTCTGAGCAAGCTGTCCTTAATTGGCCCATTTCCTCTGTCACTAAAGTGTGGATGTGTCACGGCAAACGTCTGTCTCGCTGATTTTTAGCAGCTTTCGGCTCATTTGAGCTGTAACAGACCAGAGGAGCAGCGACTGGCCCGTAACAGAGCAACTACACATGCATTTGTCATCTAAACTCATAATCCTGCTGCTGCCAAACATGAGGATTTTACAGGCGCTGCACACAAACTTCAGATCACTTGCAGCTTTCTGAAGAGAACGCACATTTTCAACAATATCAACTTTTCCGTTTTTACTGGACCGTTCACATGATGATGAGCAGCCGAAGATGTGCTCATGTGAAGCTCAGTGCTGCTGGATAATGCTTGTGAATTGAATATACTTTCCTGCAACGGGAAATTTGGTTTGGACTTCATGAACAGCAGCTAAAACACAAATGCACTAATGATTTAAGCAAAGCCGTCTAGTATAAGGGTTTGTGAACCCCTGACGGTTTGGGAGTTGATAAAAAATGTAAAATTAAAATAAAACATTTTAATATAGCACTCACTAAAATGATTAAAATCATAAAAATGTCAAACTGATATCATAAAATCTGAAATCATAAAAATGTTAAATAATACATTTCACATTAAAACAATCAAAACAGATTAAAATCGTAAGAACGTAAAAGTAAAATAAATAAATAAATTCCAAATAAAAGCAATCAAAAAAATTTTTTTTAATTAAAAGCAGTCAAAATACAGCACTTACTAAAAAACTATTAAAATCATAAGGTAAATTTAAAATAAAAAATTTCCAAATAAGAGCAATCAAAATAAAACATGTACTAAAAATTATGTACTCATAATAGATATTTGATATAAAAACAGTGAAAATACAACTCTAACTAACAATTACTAAAATCATAAGAATGCAAAACAAAAACCAAACTCCTAAACCATGAAACACATCCTATAGCTGGTCTGTGTGTGTGTGTGTGTGAATGAGTGTGAGAGAGTGAGTGTGTGTGTGTGTGTGTGTATGTGTGTGTGAGAGAGAGAGAGAGTGTGAGAGTGTG